ACCCCATCACTGCCAAGCTATACCAGAGTGCAGGGGGGTGGCATGTCAGCAGGCATGCCTGGTGGGCTTCCAGCGGGTGGAGCAGTCCCATCCCAAGGTGCTTCTTCTGGATCCATCATGTAAGAGGTTGACTAAAAACACCAGAAAAAGAACATTCCACACAGTTTTCCAAAAATTGGAGGATTTTAATTTGTAGTCAAGGCAATGGCAGTTTAAAAAAGTAACATTTAAGCTACTGTTCCAATCTGGGCATTCTGAATGCTTGAATGTGCCCAGAAGGAGAGCAGTGATCAACACTGTACTTCATCAGAACTGTAAACAAGGAGAAATGTAATTTTTGCCCTGGAGAATAAAATCTATTTAAAATCGGTTGGTGTCGTTCCTCCTTCTTCATTTTGGTGCTCTTCTCATCTCTGCCCTTTTCTTTTCTGGAGGGAAAAAAAGACAAGTGGAGAAAGAGACAGAAAGACAAAGAGAATGTGTTTAAGCTTTGGCTCAAACAGAGGGATCTCTTCCACTAGAAGCATCAGAAGCCTCTTGTCTCCCAGGCAACCTTTTCTTCTGGCCAACAAAGGCTTGTTCCGATTGGTTAATCTAGACCCGGTTAGATCTGCTAAGCAAAATTAGTTGGGTCAAAGGGAAGTTCCTAGGATGGCCTATAATAGAAGCAAATTGTCAGGATTGGATAGGGGGGGCCAATGACTGAAGCCTGGCCAGAGGTTTAGATACTTCCTCTGCAGGGAAGGGGCTGTTTATCCTTTGTATTTGAACCTGGATTGTTGACAGCTGCTTCCAGTGTTGCCTGATATGATTTAACTTGATTGGGTTATATTGCCTAACCAATCAGAATGCTCCCAGGCCTGGCTGTCTTGATAGGGAATCTAGGAAAATGTTCTCTTGTTATTTTTTTAAATAAAAAAGAATAAAAATATTTTAAGGAAGAGAACAATCCTTGAAGTCATATCTGATGTTGTTTACCTTATACACTGAACATAAAGTTGGAGTATGATTAATAAATTCAACCATTAATTGTAGATGTAATTTCATCCACGTCTGCTCCTCCTTTGGAACACTCACAAATTCACCTCACCAGCTCATGTTTGCACAGCTCTTCCTCTGGAATGTGTTGAGCCTGTTCACATCCACCAGTTACAGCCTGTTGATCTATATATAATATTAAATGGGAGGAGATATCCTATCAAGCTCCGCAGTTATTTTATTTTACACAGTAATATTTTACATTATTTATTCTTTCATCAGGTGAAACAGAGCTAGAGATACAAGACCACATGTTAAGTACATATGAGTTTCATTTAGAATTCAGAGATATTGATTTCCACGTCCATGTTCAATCTGCTTGCTCATGTTATCTCTTAGCAACAATTTTTTATAAAAACAAAAACAAAACAACAGATATTCAACAAAATTCTCACTAGATAAAGTTGGAAGGTACCTATTCACTAGAGGGTGATGCTGTGTGCTTTTTCAGAGATTACCAGTAGAGGGGCAGCTAGGTGGTGCAGTGGATAGAGCACTGGCCCTAAATTCAGGAGTACCTGAGCTCAAATCTGGCCTCAGACACATAACACTTACTAGCTGTGTGACCCTGGGCAAGTCACTTAATCCCATTGCCTAGCCCCCCCAAAGAAAAACTTAAAAAAAAGAAGAGATTACCAGTAGGCCAACAGTTCCCTGTTCGAAGACCACCACTCTTATTTTCCCTCTTTACTCCTTATCACCTGCACAGAATAATGTGAGTCTCCTTCCTGCTCTTCCCTTTATTCTTTGCCCCCATAAAATCTTCCTTTAGTGATGCTGCCATATGAGCCATTTTTTATGCATTGTTCTGGGGACGTCACTCCCCTACTCAAAAATCCTTAGAGATTCCTTATAACCTCCTGAGTAAAGTTCCAATTCCATTGCCACTCAATCGCTAACTTCCTATTAGGTGATTACTACATGCCAGGCACTGTGCCAAGTCCTAGGGATGCAAAAAAAGACAAAAATCCCTGTCCTCAAGGAGCTCACATCCTAATACTTTTCAAGTTAGCAATCAACAAGCATTTTCGAGCTTTCTACTGTGAAAGACGTTTCCATATATACACACACACTGAATAAAAGCACACAGAAAAATGGTAAATAAATACAAAGTGCTGAGGGAGGAACACCTAGCAGACGGAAGATGAAACTGCTTAGAAGACAGTGCTTAAGCTGCTCTTGAAGACAGTGGGGGATTCTAATATGGCAGAGGGAAAGGGGAGAACATTCCGAGCACAAGGGACATCCAACGCAAAGGCCCAGAGGTGGGAGATGGGGTAGCGCAGGTGATATTTCGGCCCTCCACAATTTGGCACCAACCTAACTTTCTCCCAGCCTTCTTTCACATGATGGATGAATGAATAAAGCAGCTTTAAGAGCTTACTGCACAACAAGCATCATGCCAAGCACTAGGGATACAGTGCAAAAGCGAAGAACTTACAGCCCATGATAGGCACAGACAACACATATAGGGCAGTGGTGGTCAAGGAGGGGGTATCTGGTCTTTTGGGGGCACACCAGGTGTTTAAGGAAGACTAGCACCTCTGGTTTGAGGGCTGGCTGAGCCCTTTTCAGGGCTGCTCATCCACCTTTGGTGTCTACTTAGCACAACTCTCACCCGTGGCTCCAAGAAGCTGTAGAATGTGCAGCAGCCACACCCCAGTAAACCGTGTAGGCAGATGGGCTAAACCAAGTCCATGGTAACCTATAAGCCTCAAACCCATCAACGAGGTGGGGAGGCGTCTACCCCAAGCATGTGCAGACTTTCCCTGGCAGAATGGGCAGATGAAAATAATCTGTTCCAATGGCCACAAAGTGGCTGAAGCAGTAGCCGTGGATCGATTAGAGCTTTGTCAGATATCAAAGATGCTAAGGTATCCCCAGTGGTGCAAGATGCCACTGTATCCGTGGCCGCTGACAGCTGTCTTGACTTTTGTCTTACCACTAGACTTTGGTGACTCTGGAAGAGAGAGTAAGGCTGACAACTTTGTGCAACTCTTGCCTCAGTTCAATCCAATTCACACGTGAGTCACCACCCTGTGAAGTCACTGGTCCTCTTTCAAAACGAGACAAACAACAAATTTAGGTTTTGAAAGTTAAAGGGATAGTATGTGGAACCAATGACCATTTGATTTATGGGTCTAGAACTAGAGAGTGGAAGAGCTGGGGGCAGGGACTGCATGCCAGGTGGATGAAAAGACAGCCAGGGAGTGAAGGATGGCTGGAGCCTGGCCCAGATGGAATTACTGAGTCACATACAAGTCAATCACCAATAGTCACAGGAAGGTTCTAGACAAGAGTTTTGGGATGGCCGGGTTAAGTCTTCTGAAGCAGTGGTATCAAAGTCAGACAGAAACAGATCCCTGCATAGTAGCTATTGACTTAGAAAACGGCAAATTCACATTATCTATGTTACATTGTATTTGTTTTGTTAAACATTTCCCAATTATGTTAATCCAGTTCCAGCATACTGCAGGCAGCTAATGAGACTGACAGTTCTGCTCTAGAACAAAGGGGGCAAGATGGCTATTAGAGAAGTGATGATAATAAATGACATCCAGCTTGGGTTTCACAACGTACCAAGTGCTTTACATAGCGTCTCACTGAACCTCACAACCACCTTCTAGGCTAGACCACTATGGGTCCACTGCTTATCTCTGCCTCGTCGGTCTCTGGCTGAGTCGTTGTCTTCCCTGGAACGCTCTTTGCCTACTGGATTATTCTTGTTTTTGGAACCCCACGAAAACGCCACCTCCTTCAATGAAGCCTTCTCTTATTTCTATTATTGACATTTTACTCTTCACCACTTTAACGGGCAGCGGCCTTCTCTGTCTTATTTGCTACAAGACTGTAAGCCCCATGAGGGCAGAGCTGTCTCTGTGCGTTCCCATTACCTACAAAGTGGTTTAATTACGCTGACATGCAACTGAACTAAACATTTGTTGCATCTGCTGGAGTTTTCAGCCCCCGTGGGTCTTCATGTCTCTTACTGAGGTCGCACTCTGACAGACAGGGGGTTCAGGCAGTTGTCACGTGGGCGGGACCCGAGTTTGAAGTCGCTTCCCCTCCGCAGACCTCGGGCCTGCCGCCCGCGGCTGCATCCACCCCGCCGGCTCTGCCCCTTGTCCTCTCGAGCTCGGCTTCCCATCCTCAGGCCTTCTCCGGACACGCCCCGCCCCCAACACGCGACAGGGAGCTCCCCGAGGGCAGGCCTTTCATCCTCCCACACGCCACGCCCCACTCACATGTAGCTCCTCCCCCAGCCCCCCCACAACGCCCCCTCCGCGGACAGGCCTGGCACGTGGCCTGCCCGCAGGAAGGCCTCGGATGGGAATCTCTTTAGCGGTCACTGGACGCGCCGGCTCGTGCCTGCTGGGGACGAGGCCGCGGCTCCAGCCGGAAGCCTCCGGGAGGTCCACGTTCAGGACCTCGCAGGCCTGACGTCACGTTCGCCCGGCCGAAGCCGCCGCGTGACGTCATTTCCGGCAAGTGACGTCACATTCCGAGGCGCGGGGGGGGGCCCGGAGATGTAACACAGTCTCCGGGACTCCGGCGGAGAGGGTGGGGGCGGGCTCCCGGGGCTCCGCTCCGGCCGGCGCGCCCGAGGCCTTTCGGGCGGGAGCCGCGGGGCGGGGCGGGGCGCGCTCGCCACGTGCCCCGGGCCCGAGGCAGCGGAGAGCGCCTGGGCGAGGGCCGCCGAGCGGGCATGGGGCGAGGCCCGGCGGGCGCGAGGCCGCGCTCGTCTCGCGGTGTTTCCTGACCGGGCCGGGCTGGTCCCGCTCCCCTCCCCGCCTCCGCGGAGCTCTCGCGAGAGCAGCGGGGCAGGGCAAGATGGCCGTGGCCCGCCGCGGCCTGTGAGCCGAGCGGCGGGAGGCGAGGCTCGAGCTCCCCCCAGCGAGCCCAGGACGGGCTGCGGCGGCGGGACATGCGTGCGGGCCGGGCCCGGGGCCGTCGCGGGAGTGGATGCTGCGTCCCGCTGCCGCCCCGGCTGCTCTGAGCGCCCCCCGGAGTGCGCGGAGCCCGAGGCCGAGGCGGCGGCGGCGGAGGCGGCGGCGATGACCGGCGAGAAGATCCGCTCCCTGCGGAGGGACCCGAAGCCCTGCGGCAAGGAGGACGGCGACCTGCTGGAGCCGGGCGACGACGAGGCGGCCGCCGCCCCCGGGCCCTTCACGGCGGCGCGCGGGGCCGGGCCCGGAGGCGGCGGGGGCAAGGGCGGCCGCCTGGGGCCCCGAGGCGGCGGGGCGGCCACCCCCCGCAACCCGCGGCCCCGCAGCCCCGGCTGCCGCTGAAGCCGCCGCAGGCCCCGGCCGGCCCCGGCTGCTGCTCGGCGTCCTCCCCCGCGGGCGCCGCCGCCTCGGAGCCCGGCCGGGGCCCCTCGCTCTACCCGGTGCACGAGTGCGTATTCAAGGGCGACGTGAGGAGGCTCTCCTCCTTGATCCGGACGCACCACATCGGCCAGAAGGACCTTCACGGTGAGCCGGGGGCGCCCCTGCACGACCCCTGCCCAGCCTCCTCCCCGAGGGAGCCCCGCAGCCCCTCCTCTTCCGAGGGAATCCCCGTAACCCCCTTATTGGGAGTCCTAGGAACGCGCTCACCTGGGGGCTCCCGGCAGCCCCTCCTCAGCCGGGGGATCCCCCAAGCTCTTCTCCGGGGCCTTAGGACTCCTGCCCCGTAGGTTTCCTGCAGTCTCCGCCTCCAGGACTCTAGGAATCTCCTCTCCCCCAGTCTCGGGGTTCTCCCAGCCCCTTCCCCCAGGGGTCCCCCGGCAGCCTCCGTTGTGCTGGCCCCCTCGGGATGTCGGGCGCGGCGGGGGCTCTGTTTCCCCAAGTTTCCTGGGGGTCGGGCTGTTCGTTTACTCCTCAAGGAGCGGGTTCCCGGACTTCATTTTTGAATTCTTCCGTCCCCTGTCCTTGCCTCGAGCTCCCTCTGGGCTCCCGGGCTTCTGGGGCCGCCTTCCCCTGGGCCAGAGCAGGCGTTTGTCCGAGTCCTGCCAAGGTTTGCCCAGCGCTTCGCTCGCATCCCGGCTCGTTGGATGGCTCGGAGCTGGAGCCCTGGGGCCGCCCTGGCGGCCTGGTCTGTTGACTCTTGTGTGGAGTTGGGGCTGGGAAGGAATGCCCCAGCGAGCTGCTGTGGGCCCCCGGCGCCACGGAGGGCATTCCCTGTGGGTGAACGGCGTGGGCTGGCCGGGCACCGGAGGTGTGGGAGCCCCGCAGGTGCTAAGTGGCTTGGTCGTTCGGCTCCCGAGCGCGATTCCTTCTCTAGGTCCGGTAGGGTCCTGTGATCTCCTTAAGGCACTGGAGACTAAGGCCTTTTAACCATGAACATAGTTTAGAAGGGTCCGTTTAAGAGTAAATGTGTGAGAAATCCATCCATCTGTGGTGCCGTACCTATGCGAAGTGTATATAGGTTGAACTCTTTTCAGCAGAGGAAACTGAAGCTCAAGGTGCCTTAAATAAATACGTCCTCCAGAGTGCTAGAGCAGGTGCTTTTCTTGTATTTTTGAACAGATTTGCTGTCCGCTGTAGTTTTTCTAAGAAATGTCTAGTCTCCTATCCCCGCAATGATGAAGATGATCGATAGAATTGCTTCTGAAGTGAGGTTCATGGACTCTGTAATCTTTCAGAAATTGGGCCAGCCAAGGAAATATTTTAAAAGTTGTCAGTCACAGTGGTGAAGGACTCATTTATATAATACCCTAACTTTCATACTACTGTACTTTTTACTAAATTTGTAATATCTTAGTTTCATTCAGACTTGCTGTCATTTCTCATTAATTATATCCTGAACAAAACTGTTACTTGGAATTACACTTTGTCTTTTCATAGACTTTTATTTCCTGGTTTCTTTTGGATTGTTACAATAAGAGGCTTAGTGTCGATTATTAGTAGTGGTGCTTATATAATCACCTGCTAACTTTGCAAGAGATAATTATTAGTGGGAGATGGATTGTGTCCCTAGGTTATTAGTCTGTAATTAAGAACTTTATCAGCCCAGGTGGACAGTGACCAGCGTTATATTTAATCTTTGTATCTGAGTGCTCTGGGCCCATGTAAGTCAAGGTTTCATGCTTTCATCAGTATGGACAATCTCCAGTAATGCAGATTCCTAGCACCTCTGGGACCTGGAGATGTTTTTTCAAGAGCTCCTGTGCCCAAAACATTTATCACCTTTTAACCCACTTGGTGACTTGGTGATTTAGTTAGATTGATTTCTCTGGTGTAGCAGAGAAGGAGAGAAAGGGTCCATACTCAACCCTTCAGGTTTGCTACAACCTGCCATGGTTGGTTCCTTACAAAATCCCCCCCCCCTTCCAAGACTTCAGGACCCAATCATCCCCAGGACACAATGGATGACTTCAGTGGAAGGCTTTGCACGTACTAGATGTCTGACCATTTTTGTTGAAGTTGTTCTATTCATGAGGCATCATGAGCCTTCTTGGTATATATTTAGCCAAAACTTCTAAAATTTAGAGCTAGAGTAATTTAGACTAGATTTGACTAGCCAGAATGCCTCATGCATGATCTGATAAAACGTTGTATTTCATTAGAGAGAATTAGGTATGACTGTGGCTTACAGACTAATGTCATTGGAACTGATTTTGTTTTGTGATCCACAGAATCACTAGGATTTAAGGATTAAACTTTCTTTGACAGCATCTATTCCAGGATTTATCTCTGGTTTTGTTGAAATAAAAATTGTTAGTTCTCTGGTCCTCTTTTAAACTATTTTCCTTTAATTGTTCCTCTTTGTTCTTTATGACAAAGGTTCTTGTTTTGCCTTGTGTATAAAGAAAGTGTCTTTGCCTCTTGTTTCTATTTTAGTATTACTGATGTAGTCATGTACCTACAAGCTGCTTAGACATTTAAATGTTGTTGGCTTCTTTTTCTTCTCACAGTGCTAACATACTGCCTTGCAGGGAAGGATAATCCTGATTCACTGGTTCGTTGATCGCTTGCTTCTCTTGTGCAGAAAGGTATAGATGGACACTTTAATTGCTAGTCAGGATAATTTATTTAACTTTTGAAGATATTATCCCTCTATAAGGATGTAAATCAGTGTTAAAAAAAATACAAGACATTGTTCTGTTTTAAGAGAAATAAGACAAACAAAACGTGCTTCTTGCCTTTAAGTATTTATTTACCTGGTGAGCCATCCCTTACTCAGTACTGGATAGTCTGGTCCCCCAGAATGCAGCTCACAACCCTCCATACCCCCTCTGTTGTTTTACTTTTGTCCATCTTCTCCCAGATGTTTTGTCACATGGATTTGCCTGGTGTGCTGAAGGCCTCCCTCGCTTTCCTCCACCGTCCAAACTCTCTGGAGTGCCACCTGTACTGCGTTGCCGTTTGATCAGGCTGTCTTTTACTGTCAAGGTTCCATCGTGATGCCTGTTTCTGTTCTATGTGATGTTCATTCTCAGTTCTTCAGAAACATTTTTATGCCATATAGCAAAACCAGTAAGCTCTTAGCATCGAAAAAAATAGGTAGGTGTTTGCTTTCATGGGGTCTGTAGGGCCAGTAAGAACTTCGCAGTTTTCTGAAAGCCATCTGACTCACTTCCTGATCAACTTAGGGCCCAGCTCAATGTGCATCTCTCCTGTGGGTCCTGACTTGTAGGACAGGCCCTGGAGGGCATCCATCCAAATGTGTGTTGGAATCTGTGCATTAAACATTCTTCACCAGCCTGGTCCTTCCTGTGTTGATGAGCTAAAATCTTTTCCTTCCCATCAAACTTCTAGAAGGTTCTCTGATGGTCCGGGCCTTAATGTAAGCAGTCTAATGTCATATGCAAACAACATTCATAGGATTAGGGATAGTTAAAGTGTTGCCAGGTATATACCTTAGTTACCAGGGACCTCAGACTATCTAATCCAGCCTTCCATTCAGTGTAAGGAATCCCTTCTGTGATGCTTTTGACAGGCAGCCATTTTTTCTTTGTGTCCCCAGAACCCAGCACGTAGGAGGCAATTGCCTGACTTAGGAGCTCACTGCTTTTTAAAGTAGTCTCCATAATAGTTGGTCAGTTTAAAATATTCTTGCTTATGTAATAGGGAGCTAAATTTTGCTTCCATCTCCATTCTTCCAAATTCTCCCCCTGCATGGGAGAGTATTTCCTCTTTTTTTTTTCTTTTGGCTAGGCAGTGGGGTTAAGTGACTTACCTGGGGTCACACAGGTAATATGTGTTATGTGTCTGAGGCCGGATTTGAACTCAGGTCTTCCTGAATCCAGGGCCGGTGCTCTGTCCGCTGCACCACCTAGCTGCCCTGAGAGTATTTCCTCTTACATATCATGGGCTTGCTTAAATCTTCTCTTTAACAAGATAGATATCCCCATTTCCTTCAACTGTTCCTTACATGAGATGGTTTTGACACCCCTCATCATCTTGTTATGGAACCACTTGAAGTGTGACTTCCTATTAACATATGACCAATACAGAATAACATATTGTGCTTTTGATCTTATTCTGAATACTATGCTTATCTTCGTGCATTCTCGTTGTATTAGTTTTTTTTTTGAGTTAAAAAAACCAAACAACTTATGTATCTGAAAAATTTCATTTTGAATGAAAGGTTTTTTTTTTTGTTTTGTTTTGTTATATGGCTTCTCAGTTACCCTTTTCTCAGAGTTTCTCCTAAAAAGTTAAGCAAAATTGCCCAATGTGTGATTGCTACATGTAATTTCAGTTTTTGTACCTTATTTTGATAACAAAGTGTATGTGTTTTATTTAGTAATTTAGGACCAACATTGTCAATCTCTGAGTCTTTGTTTCCATTCTTGTGAAGTCATTGTGTTTATTGATCTTTGGGTTCTGTTTTCTTTTCTCTGTATCACTTTGTGTGTCTTCCTGTGTCTCATAGAATTCTTCATATCTGTCATTCCCTACAGTGTGGTAATTTTCCATTATGATCATGTGTTAAATATTATAAATATATATGTATATATGTTTAGCTTTTCCTCAATCATTGGTTATATAATATTTCCCTAAACTTTACGATTACAAATAATGCTACTATGAATTTAGGGTTAGGTTTTCTGTCTTTTTTTTTTTTTTTGGGCTAGGCAGTGGGGTTGAGTGACTTGCCCAGGGTCAGGCAGCTAGTAAGTGCTGTGTGTCTGAGGCTGGATTTGAACTCAGGTCCTCCTGACTCCAGGACCAGTACCCAATCTACTGTGCCATCTAGCTGCTTCCATGAACTTTCAAATCGGGACTCTGCTCTGTTTTTATGTAATTGTATTTAAGACTTTACGTTGATCCTTCTTAAGTTTTTTCCTCTTGTTTTTGGCCCATCTAAAACTTTTAATGGTTAATAAACTCTCCTCTGATTATACTCTCCATATCCTAGTAATTCTGAATGATATAGATTGTCATTCAGAACCCATATTCTGTCCTTCACGGCCAGATTTCTTATTCTCCTTCCCTTCAAACCCTCCCCACCCCAAAGCTATCCACCCGTTCCCTGTGCCCTGTGG